ACGACAGCGAGAAGCAAACCCGCATCGCACGCCTATGAAGCGAGACCACTACCACTGTGCCACGTCGGCACTTGGTACCGAGGCGACCAGTTCACATATCCAAATAATACTACTGTCAAGCAAATTTCCAGCCTCCACAACTTTTTAAGGAAAACCATTTAGCAGTTTCATTTTCCATTTTCGTAAATAGCATTCAGAGCTCTATCGATTTATCTGGGTCTCCACTCAAAGTCCCACGGTAAGCAGACTACCCCTCCCTGGTAAGATCACAATTGACCGAGCAGAAGAAAATCTGTACAAAATTGTAGCCTCAAAAATTAACGCGATATCTTTTATTTATCGGCTATCGCCGCTCCTACTGTACATAACCTCCCACCTCTCATCCAGGGAAGGAACCCCAGCATTCACGTTGTAGGATCGGACATCAACCTTTGAGGAATGAGCCATCGAAAGCTTAGGCTTGTTGAACAGCACGTTCACCCCGGTGACAAATCTTTGTAAGTCAGGTTGAAAGCCCCATTTGATGAAAATTTCTATGATAATGGATTTCTTGGTTGATAGGCTTCAAACCCGTCTGGGAGGATAAAAGCAATGACCTATTCATCGGACATCTGCCCTGTTCCACTGTATACGTCGCAAACACATTCAGAACGCCGCCACGTTTCTGACTGGAAGCTGAATGGACTACATCCCAAAAATCAAAGCATGCTACAAAAATTTTCGAACGATAGAAGGTATAGCATTCAAGAAAACCGAGGGAATCCGCTCGTCAGTATTTATTCGCTGAAAAACCAGAATGAATTTACAAAGGCTCTGGAAGGTTCATGCAGGTAGGCCGCAAAGCGGTGGTCCGCGTTGAGCAATGGTCAACCCGAGGTCGGCCACTGAATGATAGCAGGCATTCGCATTTGAACTGTGGTCGTTTGAAGATAGGAAGAGCAATTGGGTAGTGCTAGGAAAGTGTGGTACAAAGATTATTTTTAAGGATTGAACATCAATGTGCACACTACTAGACGCCTCAATAGAGAGTGCGACTCAATGCTGTTTGGTAATACCGTAATCGCTTTATAATTGTGGTAACATTTTTTGGAAGATTCTGTCAACACACGTCTCCATCGTCTAATTGGAAAGATCAAGGAGTGTCAAAAAAACGCCGGAAAGTCTATTCTTATCGTTGTGGCTGAGATCGACAGATCGACAAGAAATGCTTCAGAAAACAGAAGTCCGTGTCGGTAGGTGCCAGGCTTGAAACCACGATAGATAACGGTTCTCTGATAGAATACGACGATTCTTGGTCCACGTTCGCAGAACTATTTTGGTCATTCATGGTCGCTGGTAATTTAGGGAGAGCGGTATCACTAAAATAAAGCGAGTTTCAAAGAAATTGCATCCGACCAAGAGTAACTGCAGTAGCGTATAGCTCTGGTGGTATACATAAAGCTTCGTTGAGTGTCTTTGCTTATAAAATAAGTTTCCTTGAGCAGATAACTCGTTTGTGCACACAACTATTTCTTCGTAAGCTACTAAAACCCTCAATTGTCATCTTATCACTGGCCAAAGATGAGAAAACCTCCCTTATTTGTATTTGTCGCGTCTTTCAGAAAGCAGAATTGCCAGCAAGAGCTCACGCAAGTGCGGCACAAAAAATACTGTTCAGAAAAGTGACGTTGTCAGTGACTGACTTAGTAATCTTGAAAATGGGAAAGAAATTGAAAAATCCAAGAAATTGAAAAGAATAATGTGTCTTATTGGTGCGGAGGCGGTGTATTGGCAAGTGGCGCATCATCCCACACGCATGGTCCTGGATCGACATCCGCCTAAGCCAACCAAACCTTATATTCCTCCGGGGTCGATTTATTAGAACCAGATTCGTCTGGGAGGATAAAAACACTAACTTGAACATTAGCTGGCCACCGCAAGCCAATGTATAGGCCACATACACACCCATTACGCCACTACGATTCTGAATGGAAGTGGAGAGCGGGGGCGCATCCTTCAGACGGGATTGATAAAGCCAGAAACTTTATCCTTTATCCTTTTACCCATGCTTATACTTGTCTCACCATCGTCGTAAGTCACCGCATGTGAATTCAAAGCCGAGGACAGGGAGGACACCGAGAGCCTCAGGTAACAATGCCCTACTGGTCGGACACCCAACCAGGATGAGTTTCCCTAGACCCTGATGGTCTGAAACCTTGTAAAACCCTCTCCTTCAACGAGTATTGTTGTCTATGTCTGTCTACATTCTTATTCGTCTGTTTGCCTTCATCATAACATGTTTTTATTTCTTTTGAACTCGTATAGGAATGAACAGAGAAGATTATTGTGTTGTCATTATCGAAATAGCTCGTGAGATATATACCACACTTTGAATATACGTCAGTGTAGCTTGGTGCGGTTGTTCTTTAAGAGGCCCCTGTAGTCAAAGCGTTGGGAGTCGCCGTCACAGCGAGTCATCACCACATGCATCGCAAAGGTCTAAGGAAAAAAGATCACACTAACAGCGCGACAGGAAGAAGTTTAACAGGCGTAGAGGTTTAAGCCCGCCCTTCCCTTCTCCACATAACAAAAAAAAATAGAACAACAAAACATGAAAATAGAACATTAAAAAACCTGTGTGGCACAGAAGCACTGAATAATATTAGTACCGATACCCAGGTTTCAAGAGAGGCGAACATGGAAGTTGCTTTAAAAAAATAGAAAAAAAATTGGAGTTTGCTTGAATTTCGACAGAGATGAATGATATGAAATAAATCACTAGTTAAAATTTGGAAAGTAAAAACATTACATCGTGCGCGGGTTCCAGTCAGTGTCCTTTTTACTCTGACCGAAACATGATCGTATAGCCGGGTTTTCTATACCAATAATTGCCTATAGCTTACACAGGAACGAAAATTCAGTCCGGCACTCGACTCTTACAGTAATCCGGCACGTGTTAACACGCGAATTTTTACCCGTCACATATACGACGCGTCGAAACGGGGCTTTGGGCAAGGACACGGAGATGGGTGGTGGGGTAAGCCGCGGAGTTACTGTAAGAGCCGAGTACCGGACTGAATTTTCGTTTTAGTATAGTTTACAGGTAGGTCGGAGTTGGTGTGGTGGCAAATGGCGCACTATATCGCACGCGCGGTCGCGGATTCGAGTCCCCGCTCGATATCCGCCTAGGCCAACCAAGCCTTCCGTCCCTCCGGGTCCGTTAATTGGTTCCAGACTCGTCTGGGAGGATAAAAACACTGACTTGTACATCAGCTGGCCACCGCAAGTCATTATATAGGCCACATACGCATTCAATTCGCCACTACGATTCTGAATGGAAGACGTGTGTGGGGAGCATCCCTCATACGGGATTGATTAACGCCAAAAGACTTTGAAGAATTTAGACTAAACTTACAGGTGCTTTTACATCCACTTTGTTTCTGTGACCACTTCTTCATCTAAACAAAACACCCTAAACTTTATCAAGAAAAAGGAGGTTTACAACAGAATTCGATTGCAGTCAAAAAATCAATTATTATTTATCCATATCATGACCGGCACATAACAAATATTACTTATAACGTTGAGATAACGACATCAAGATCTGCATTGCTGACACGTTCGAATGCCCCAACCTGGCGACCTTAAATGAACAATAATGAAGTACACAACTCAAGATATATGTCAATATGCGAAGAAAACCTAAACTCGATAATGAAATAGAGGCATGATATAGCATTTTCTTGCTGGTCGCATTCATGAGATAATATGCCCAATATGTGAGTTTGTCCGAAACACACCTTTGGAATCTTTCACAGGTTTGATAACAACCACCTCTACGTTAGCACTATTCAACTTCTCCTCCATGACCTGCTTCAAGATAGCCAGTGCCACCTTCAGCGCTTCTTTCAATGTCATATTCTGAAACAAACGAAATGCTTGATAGTTGCATTTAGTTATGGGTGATTCAGAAATAGGGACAGATAGTGACAAACATCGTGATACTGTTCCTTCAAACTCTGCTCCGCTCCATCACTTGCAGCACCGATCGACTGAAAAAAAAGTAATGCAAAGAAACAATTCAATAGATCCAGTATCCAGTACTCGTTCCGTTTACTCACCTTTGCCTTACAATCAATGAAAGTTCCTGAGGGATCAAGATGGAAAAGCTTTGCTCCATCTTGATCTACCCCAGCGAACAGCATGGCAACACCGAAGGGGCGAGACATTGAAGCCTGAAAAGGAGATGTTCCCTGTAAGCCGAGAAATACAACAAGAGAAAGAGTTGCTGACATAAAAGGCCTGAATCGTTTACCTTCACATCATCATCGCCAAACTGGAGAGCGAGGTTTGCAACTGATTGAGTAACATCTTCAATTCGAATCTTCCGGTTGTAGGTGAACCAAAAATTTTGCGCTTCAATCTGTGCCCTTTCCACAAGCGTTCGAGAATCGGCAATCAAGCCGGCAAATGTTACACCTGAATTAGTTGTTGTTAGACCTATCAATCACAGCACAGGGATTAGAATGCGTCAAGCGTCTTCCAGTCCGCAGTTGACATGTCGCATGGCAATCTTTAAAGTTGAAAGCAAAGAGTACGCTTATAATAAAATTGAGTTTTTGGAACTTTCATGAAGCATTCCCCTTATCAACTCCTAACACCCTCACCCTCTCCTGTCGGATATTTCAAATCTTCTTATTAATCATTCCGAACAGTTCAGAATGAAACCAGTTTCCTAGAACCCAACTACACAGTTCTTCTCATTTTGGTTTGTTGTGACTTACTCTGCTATTGCTCCACTCACCGACATGTTCATCGACCTTGCTTATTTTTTCAATGGCATCATTAACCATAAGCTTGGAGGTAGATCTCTTTTCAGCGGCTAGTAAAACTCCTTCTTTAGTGCGTATTCCAATGCTGGTAGAGCCAAGCTGCAATGGAAAGTTGACTTTGCTCTCAAGAGGTCCAGTATGAACTAGCTGTCAAAGTTTAAGATCGTTTTTAAAGAATATAAGAACGAGGTGAATCAGTAAATCATTAGCGGGAAAGCTTTAGATAACTACCTTCACGGCCTCAATGGCATATTCGACTTGGAACAGTCTTCCTTCCGGTGAAAATGTATTCACACCACGATCATACTCGCTGCGTGTCAGGAACATCGCTACCTTAAAGTTAATTTCTGTTTCCCTGAGCCGCAGAACCATAAAAACATTCAATAACTCGTACATGAACGGAAAGAACTGGTCGAGATAATACACTATCATATTCACATGATTACCTAGCACAAGCTAAATGCGCAAAACCCCAACACTGGAGTGGAAGAACTCGAACTTATGCTACCAACGCAAAACGATGATTGTTAAATCAGATGTGTGCAGCATTGCGTACGAACTGCGGTTTACAACGGTTACAGTACACCAAAATAGCTTTCTCAACATGGGCGTTGCAATAACGGAATTAAATGGATTTTTCTTTATCTGTTTACTATCTCGGCTTTACAAAAGTTCGTTTCTTTGAACGTAATATTGGCAAGAACAGCACTTCACTAGAACTGTATCGTTCAAATGAAGAAAATGTTATCGACCAAATTGAGACAGCACAACTTGATGGCCTTCTTCCCATGGATGCAAACGGGCTTCGCAAGGTGAGCATGTTTTTTGAGCAGATTTGAGAGAATCGACTTGATCAGATTTAGAGTTTTGATCGAGAGCAGTTTAATGCTGAGCAGGTTCTTGTGTCGAGTACCAGCTGTAGCCTTTTCCAAGTTTGCAATTAGTAGGAAAGTTTGGAGNCAGCACAACTTGATGGCCTTCTTCCCATGGATGCAAACGGGCTTCGCAAGGTGAGCATGTTTTTTGAGCAGATTTGAGAGAATTGACTTGATCAGATTTAGAGTTTTGATCAAGAGCAGTTTAATGCTGAGCAGGTTCTTGTGTCGAGTACCAGCTGTAGCCTTTTCCAAGTTTGCAATTAGTAGGAAAGTTTGGAGGTTGTCGCGGTCTGGGAACATTGTGAGGGCTCAGCATTGTGTTTTTTCTCTGCGCAGCGGAGCGCTGGAACCCATTTTTTGTAGTGATATCCTCAATTGCTGGCAAATGAGCTCCCGAACAACGAGCTCAACATAGGTTTCAGAGGTTGCATTCATGGTGCCGACGCCGTAAGTTAATTCCCGTTGCCGCTTTGAATAATTTCAGTCGTTAAGAATGTGTGTTTTAATGCTTTTTTCACGTCTGAATTTGCTTTTCACGGATTTTTTCAAAGTTGATTTTCAATTCAAGGTTGTGTTAATGTAGATATTAATGATTCTTAGTTTCATGTTGCATGGTCTCAGATCATCCCACGGATCACTGTGAAATCTCATGATTTTGAGCGTGTTTTTTCACTTTGACCGTGCTGAATGCGTTTAAAAGAAAGCGCGAGTCATTCCCCTGCGTGATATCGATAAGAGCTCGAGGCATTTCTTGAATGCTTCCATAGTGCGGCGTCGACGTTAAAACGTCGCGAAGTGGTACGCTGAGGAGAAAGATAGCCATGCACTAATCCGAGTTGCGCCCTCACACATCCATTAACTGTTTCGTGAAAATGGTTTTCGTGCTTTCAAACTGGAATAACTTCTTGAAGATGGTTGCGACTTGCGGTATATCGATGGACAGCCGGTATCCTAAGTGGTGCAAGCGTTACAACGCTGTCGGCGTCAGTTCGCAATTATTATAAATGCGATAACTGGACTGCGCAGCAGTTCCGCTATGGTCACATATCCACCAGCCTTGACTGTGGTTTCAACTTAGAATTTTTTGTGTTTGTCGCCGAACCTTGTTCCGATTTTGCTCAAGACCTCTGGGAAGCCGCCCAATAAACAGAATGGGGATCTCTTGATCCTTTCTGCAGATATGTTAGTCTGAGCTTCTGCAAGTGGTTATTTCTTTTCAGAGTATATTGCCTTTCAGGTTAACATACACATTTCTAAATATGGCGCTCGGTTGATCACGGAACAGGATTCAGAGACGCTTGATCGCATACCTCTGGTGAATATCGTCCTTTCTCTCGCTTATGATGACGGCTTTGGAAGGTAATAGTTACCTATTGGAAAATTCTTTGCTCATTTGCATACTCAGATCCGAATGGATAGTTTAATGGGAAAACAGAATCGGCAATGAAAAGAAACGCAGAACTAGAGCGTTTGGGTTAGACAACGCGTACAGGAACAAAACTTCAATGTGTTCGCTCCGTTTTTACACCTGTAATGAACGCACAATTTCATGGTCTTTTTTTTTCTCTGCTAGACTATTCGAATGCACAGGTCCTCACTCGTCTCATATACATCCGAAGGGGGCCTTAGGCAAGGGCACTGATTTGGGTAGTGAAGTTAGGGGCTGCCTTGCATTACGAACACTCGCTCGAGCCTGGTCCTTTGCCACGTTAATGTGAAAACTGAGTGGGTGCAGTGGATTTCCGCTTCTGTGCCGACATGTTTTCGATTGGGGCTGATTGTTTTGACACATTCCGACGGTGGACTCTGCAAGAGAATTACCGACACAGCAAACTTCCGCTGTAATTGCTATAATCACGCTACGGAGTTTCAAATCCTACCACACTCTGCACGCGATGGGTCGGCACGCCTATCTATGTTTGCTTTTCAGCTTTGGCCACAAGCCTCCGTATTGTTTCCAAGATTTTTGAAAATTCCAACGACGGCTTTACTCTTTAATGTTTAGGTATAATATTGCTATGGTGGTAAAGGCGCGCCAATGTGAGCCCGAATACAAGTGTCACGTCCTCCAATGCAGTTCTATGCGAGAAGNCCTATCTATGTTTGCTTTTCAGCTTTGGCCACAAGCCTCCGTATTGTTTCCAAGATTTTGAAAATTCCAACGACGGCTTTACTTTTTAATGTTTAGGTATAATATTGCTATGGTGGTAAAGGCGCGCCAATGTGAGCCCGAATACAAGTGTCACGTCCTCCAATGCACTTCTATGCGAGAAGCAGATGAGTTTTTACGGAAGACCCATCAGTTGTTTGACTCCGTCATAGACACGATTGATCAAAGGGAAGCTGATCAGTGTGAATGGGTCGATGTATAGTTGTGTATATAAAAAGTAGTTGTATCTATAACTTCTAATAAACTGTTTGAAAGGTCATATACTGTTCGCGGTGTGCCAAAAATGATATCAAGTAGTTTTATCTAGTGATATCTTCCTTGTCTTGCAGTGGTTACTAACTTCACACAGTCATTTTACGCATATAGGGTCATGTGGTATAAATGCATTCCGCCTGCGGCTCTTGCGGCCACAGCAGTGGCTTTTGGTGTGGCCAACAAGGATTCCATAGTTAACAGTCAAAAAGGTAGTGGAAAAATGGTGGAGCAACCGCTGTCATTGGAAGCGAGAAAACAGAAGGCCAGAAATGCGATTGTGCGACAGATGGTAACTTGAACTAAACTTGGTTATTCGTCTTACGAGCCTATTAGTGAGTCGAGATAAGGATGAAGTCAATGGGTTGCCAGCTTAAACTTTTATCTTTGTGGTTAAACTTAATCTGGGGAGCATGCGTACACCTCCATTTTAGATTCCATTGGCAGTGCTCTTGGTATCTTGGTAGGTTTAGCAGTATGTATACGGAGGCTTATCGTAACCCGTTGTCCCGTAGTTTCTTGCCCTATATTCGTTCGCTTAGCGTGAACTGCCGTCGATCAGTTCGCTCAAGTGCATTTTTTGAAGATCGTGGCATACCCATCCCAGAGGTGTAGAGCTGCATTGCTTCGAATTAATCTAGTTACCGTAGAAAAAGAGACTAATGGCATTTTTACATGATGTCGCAATGTGACACTTTACAGTACAGCATGGCAGAAATAAAAATAAAATCATAGACAGTAACAGAACCAACCGTGTGAACTAACCAGTTTGCCTAATTTGTCCAATTTGTAAAAGGCGAACGATTTCTAAATTAAAAATGGTCTCTATACGCAGTCGCAATTTCAATGTACTGCAGGCCTTCTGACTTGCTGAAGGAGAAATCATCACTAGGCAGTTCATTTGACTTCGGAGACTAAATGTTTTTTGGCATAATCAATCCGGTCGCAGTTTTGCGCCCCGCATTCGATTTCCATTCAGAATCGTAGTGGCGCATTGAATGCATATGTGGCCTATAAAATTATATGTGGTGGCCAACCTGCGTACAGGCCATTGGTTTTATTCTAGCAGACGAATCTGACACCCAGTAACCCCGCCGCGGAGTGGACGAAGGCTTGGTGAGCCTAGGCGTTTCGTTCGGGATTTGAACCCGTGACCATGCGTGTATAGTAGTGCACTACTGCCCAATCTAGACTTTATCTTTCAATAAATGACAAATTACTCCTATTACATAATTAGGATTTTCCCCTAATTGGAGTCAGATAAGTTACCTCTGCTGGAAAGATTTCGTTTCATTTCAGGGTTGCTAAACATTAGCCCCTCAACTGGGGAATAATACTTATCAACTACTGAGAGATCAAAACTAGGAGGATAAGTCCATGTCGATGGGTATTTATAGAGAAAAACGAGTCAAAGAGCCAAAGTAAACGTTTTGAACGTGTTGGTCAATCCATAACATGTTAGGCATGTTTTTACTAGTTACTGATAAATGTATGTTTACTGATGACTTCGTGCCACCCCCAATTCGGAACCGTGAGTGTGTCATAGAAAAGGCGGACGGAAGAATCGTACACTTGACATGTCAGACATGCTAATTGACATGTTAACTGACAAATAATCAATGATTTACAGAAAGCGTCTTTACACGTCAACGTGCGCTAACAAGTTTGAGCATCTTTTGGCCTGTGCCCGTCCCATTTCTTCGCCTTTGTCGAGCCCTTCGCCTAGCTTCCCTCGGGAAATCCAGCTCCCAGAATCGCTTCATATGTTTACCCGTAACGTCACGAGGTGCTCAGAGGCCTACCAATCCCACCAAGAATCGAAATGATCGGTTGCAATGAAACGACGGCGTTCTTCTGTCTTGAACGACCCAATGCCCATTTCCCACGGCAATTAGGCAAGGGACTCGACACCTTGGAAAGAAAAGAGCGAGATGAGAAGGAAAGAAAACATAAGTCTTCTTAAGGCCTCTCAGTATTGGTATTTTAATGGCAACGACCTAAAAGAAACATCAAATCACTGGACAGACTGAATCGCACTACCAGGCCCATGGCACGATGATTAAATACCGCACTGATACACGCCTATGCCAACCAACCTTTTAATCTCTTGGTCGTTGATTGGTCGATAAGCACTGACTAGAGCACGCTTGCACCTATCTCAAGTCATGCACATTCAAACGCCATTACGATTCTGATTGGAAACCGAACGCGTGGCGCACCCTACGATGGGACAGATCATTGCCAGAAAAGCTCGTCCTTTCTTTCTTTAACGGATTGTTATGTTCACAATAGAGACGAACCAGAAACCGAATCTTAATATAATGAAAAGATTGTTCATAAGCTCGTCTTGCCACAATCACCTTTCCTAAAAGCTTCATAGAGCAGAATGCAGATGCCGTACGAAATCTGATTGTAAAATTGAATTGTCCTTCAACAATTATTAACATTGAACATCATCAGAAATTTATCGTACATTATGTTGAACGCAGTGTCATAATTCTGTTCACCTCTTTCCCCACAGATTGTGTGGAAGAGGAGGGTTGGTAAAGGCACAGTTCACGATAATTTTGGGTAATCCAGATTATTATGAAAAATGGGAGACAAGATCGAAAATAGTTTGATGAAGGTGAAGAAACTGCGTGAATCGGTGTTTCCAAAAAGGCTTCGAAAAGCGTTAAAAAAGGGGACTGGACGAGAATGAGGCCAGAAAAATGAAGAAGAGAGGGGCGTTTGGACGAGCTATACAATGTGTCTCACTGCGTGCGTGTGGATCCCGGTGCGAATAACAGACTATGGTAAGCAAAAATTCATTCACATATAAGCTTAAGTAAACAAAAACCCTAGTAACAGCGGAAGGAGCTCACCTGTTTCAGCCTCNAGGAGTAGGAAATTAAGTAAGGGATCGCGGCAGCAGAAAGAAAAGCAGAGGAAAAAAGAATGGGAGGAAAACATCGCCTCATCACTCGGCGATTAGCTGATTGTGCGTGGGTCCTAGAACGAATAATTGCAATCTGTATTGTCTCGACACTCGTCTAACGTGACATCGATCGAGTGGCGTTAAAGCCGATTGCGGCAGCGACAGAGCTTCCACTATGCCCCTAAGCACCGAGATTGTGGGAGCGAGAGGGCCCCCTCTACCACCCGTGGAGCGCGCTGAGTATTCCTGAAGGAAAAACTCAGTAACCTTTTTTATCGTGAACCGTGCCTTTAAGCATTCACAGAAACGAAAATTCTGTCCGACACTCGGCTCTTACAGTAATCCATTGGCTTACCCCTCCATCCACCCTGTGTCCTTGTTCAAAGCCCCTTTTCGACGCGTCGTATATGTGACGGGTAAAAATTTGCGTCCTAACACGTGCCGGATTACTGTAAGAGCCGAGTGCCGGACTGAATTTTCGTTTCTGTTAAGCATTCTCATGAAGATATTTGTGAGGTGACCCTGTAGGTGTACCATTTATAACTAGCAACATTTTTTGGCTATAAATGGTTCCCCGTGTGTGTGTTTTTGAGTGTGTATGTGTGTGTGCGTGTATTTGTTTGTGCATGTGTGTGTATGTGTGTAAACCTATAAGTGAAAGTAAGGAGAGAAGTTAATCAGACGTTCGGTCCACTGGACTTTCTTTGTGAGCCTATCGAATCAGCCATCGACCTGGATTCGTGCATACCGTAATTATGCACGAATCCAGGTCATCGCGCCTCACAAATGCCTATCACGGTGATTGCACCATCTCTCACCATCCACTTTCAAGAATGCTTTTTCTTTTCAGGTGATCGCTGGCATACCTGGACTTTCCGTAGGTGTGAGTGTGAATGGTCGAATAGTATGGCGTCAAGGCTTCGGATTTGCTAATCTAGAAAGTGGAAGTCGTTGCACAGAAGACACGGTACGTCTATTCTTGAGCCCGGAGACTCGCCAATCTACTAAAAGGAATGTGCACCAATATTAAGCATTTCTTTACTTGTTAAATTTGTGTAACTGCTAGGTTATGCGAATTGCCAGTATCAGCAAACCGCTTACTGCAGCAATCACTGCTAGGCTTGTGCAAGACGGAAAGCTAGATTTAGACAAACCGATACAGGTAAGGGTAATTCCGATGCCGGTGTAGGCATAACAATTTCCTCCTTATTTAGACTTACCTGCCTGAGTTTCCCAATAAAAAAGTCGATGGGAAGGCTGTGCAAATAACTACACGTCAACTACTATCGCATACCGCAGGCATACGGCATTACAAGAAAAAGGAGGAAGAAGTAAGTCTTCAAAAACTTCAATTTATCTAGCGTAGAATTGCCTTCTATTTTGCTTTGTAGATATTTTGTGAATTAGAATTATGCGAAGACTAACATTTATTCCAAAATATTGGCATGAATTAGTATACAAAGCAAAATACGCTCCGTCAAAAGCTTCGCATTTGATTGACAGATTTACCTCGTCATGAAAGTGCAACAGGAAATATTCGGTGCAAAATTATTAAGTTGTACAGCACCAGTTCAACTAGTCGTACAAGAAATACACCCTCTCTACTGTCTCTATTACAAATCTAGTTAAATATGTAACTCACTTTCTAAGGAATAACTATTTCAGTAATGTTATTTAACAAAACTCGGAACAACTCAGTCGCTGGTAGCTGTTTTGTTCTTCTGTTTCTTTTTGTAGTCGTTCAGCGCCGCTTGAATCGCATCTTGAGCCAGCACTACAAGTAATTATCCTTACTATTTATAACAGACCGTAAGTGCTCTGTTTGCTAAACGCCAGTGTTCAAGGCGGTCTTCAGTTGTTATATATTACGAAGCTGAAGTGGGAAGCGCCGTTTTAAGACTAAATGACAACCTGGAGATTTGATATGCAGTGCGCATGGAATTCCTATCAGATGTTCCCAGCAACCGCTGGAGTTGAAGAAGGACTCCTGCTAGGTCTAGAAACGTGTCATCCGGATGATCTTACTATGTTCTCTCTTCAACTTACTTGTAGATAAGTTGGTCCTTCTCCTTTTCTATTGCCCATGCTTCTCTACCGCGCCATTGACGGTTGTTTACCAGAAGCCAACCAAGTTCTTTTTGCCGGGAGAATGTGGGCAGCATCAAGTTTCAAAATCAATCGATACTCTTTCAAAACCTTATCAGGCGAAATGTTGCTCGTGATGGAGCCAGAAATAAGGAAGCCTACAAAAGTGTGTGCTCTATGCAGCAATGTACCATTCAGTACTGCAGCTGCTCTCACAAACTGAAATTACAATGATCCCTTACTTGAACAGTGCAGCTTGACCGGTGGTAGGCAAAGTTCCTTGGCTATTTGGTCATTTTTAATCTTAGCAGCATCATCGACCGTTTTTCCATTGATCCATTCAGTTGCCAAGCTGCTCGATGCGATCGCAGAGCCACATCCGAACGTTTTGAACTTGGCATCAACGATTTTCCCATTCTCGTCAACCTTGAAAAAATTACGAATCTATGCCCTGGCTTAGTCCTATAACAAAATCGCTGAACACTGAGCAAGGTATCGATTACATTCACATATTTCACAGATGGCATTCCAAGAATGCACTAGTACAAGTGCTTTAACTAATCATTATGATTTAATTCACTAAAATCATAATGCAAATACTAACTAGGGGCAACACAAATCAGTTGTGATATTTACCAAAAAGCTTTTTATGAAAAATCGATTCTACGCACTAACCTTAATTTGAAGTTTCATTACATCACCACAGGCTGGAGCACCAACTATGCCGGTACCAACAGATGGGTCATTTTTATCCAACGAGCCAACGTTACGCGGATTTTCATAGTGGTCAATTACCTGAAGGGTATGATTCAAGCTGAAGCTAGCGAGGCTTCAAAACAAATGGAAACCCACTTTTTCATGATAACTTGCTTGAGTTGCGAGAACGGCAGGAGGAACTTTCGTCAGTAGACGAATAGAAGAAGAGACCAACGACATTCTGCAAATTTATAAGAAAGCTAAAGAAAATCTTGAAATATCAACCTGAAGCAACGACCGCCCAACACATGACTGCGAGGGCACGCCTCGCGGCTGGAATGTTGATGTGAAACGGGAGCGATCTTTGCAATAGCAGCTGCCGCTGCCAAGTCGCCGTCGCAGTGCGACGTCGCGCCGTCACGCATTGCGCTATGACCGCAACTTCACCGAACATTTTCCATTAGACGACTATTATGAGCAAGGAGTTGGACGGGTTAATGAGGTTTAGCAGAGCTCTATAGTTACAACTGGGTGTTTATGCTAACTTCGGAAAGACGCCTAATTGAGAAGAATAGTTCCGTATCGATCAAAGGTTTGGAACAAAAAAACGTTGACTTGTATCGGAAGGCGAAAATGCAAATGTCAATGTAGCCGGGCCATTAGATAAAGATACCCCTAGAGCAACGAAGCTTCCTAAGTAAAAAAAAACAGAGGGAGGTGCTTTAACCTCTAACCTGTACTGAATATTTGACTCTGACTCTGGTGCTCCTTTTTCTTTTCTTCGGGTGAGTTAAGTAGTATCAGGAATGATGGGGGGACAGCTTCATCAATAGTTTATCTAGATTTTCGACTAAAGATGTAAAGATTTATCGGCTATCATATGAAAGCCGATTGATAAGTCGTATTCCTATCCTGATGACTTCATAGGTCAGAATTTGGGTTAGGTGTGGGCGCAGTCTGGAAAGATCTTACGTGAGGGATGCCTTCTAACGAATGCCAATTCTTTTTCAGATCGAGGCTAACCAAAAGAAAGACCTCGAGGAACCTGCACCTGACTCAGAAGATAAGGAATTCCTTTCTAACGTTAATTATGCCACCGTCACAGATGCATTGACGATGTTCAAAGACGACGAACTGCTATCGGAGCCAGGCAGCAAATTTAGGTTGGATGAATCCATTTTCTCGATTTTGAAAATTGTAGTTACAACATTGATAGACTTCCCACTTCTCCTGAACTACTAGTTGCTCAATGTACTACCAGACTCTGACGCGTAGTTTTACGATAGGTATCGATTTTGCGCCCTCGCAATCTATTTTTGCTTCCGCGTGTCACAGTTCAAGCAGTCAAATTAATGAATCAGACCAATTAAACCGTATAGGTATACAACTCACGGATTCACCCTCGTCAGTGCAGTCCTGGAGAAGGCTTCAGGAAAGGAATTCAAAACACTAGTTGAAGACCTTGCATTTGAATTAGGAATGAGGTACACTACTCTCGATGTCAATAGCAAAGTCATCCCACATCGGGCAAAGTGAGTTTCTTTCTTTGAATCGCTTTCAAGACTGACTTCCTCCAAATTACGTCTCTTTGTAACAAACCCTCTTCAGCTACTACAAGCGCAATAAGAAGCACGTTCTAGAAAACTGCTCTGAAGTGAACAACTCGTACAAATGGGCAGGTGGTGGTATTCTTTCTAATGTAACGGATCTTCTCACTTTTGCAAACGCTATTCTCTACAGGTGAGTAGCTCACTGTTTGTTCTAAGCATATTGTTGTGTTTGCTCAGCTAAGATGTCGTGATCCACTGAACACGTCTGGCTGTAAGCTCTCACATTTTGTGACCGAGCTTAGTGTGAGGACTACAGGCGGAGACATGGGTGGCACGGTGTACTGTGATTCCAAGATGATGGCGAAAATATAAAAAACCGAATTGAAATCATTGAATAAGTAATTAAAAAGCACCCATTTAGCCATCAAGCCGGCCCAACTTCTAAAAACGCTTTTCTGAAAAAGGATGTGATTCAGCAACTGTGGAAAGGGGAAATATCTGTGAACAATAGGACGCTTGCGGGACTCGGCTGGATGCGCATACCTGGTGATGATTACAAAGGAGGCGACAAAGCAAGGTTCAGCTTTCTAGACCTCCATCTAATTTTTTTTAGGCTTGTGCAGTATCATGCGAGCAAATTGGACTTCAAGCGTGTGTCTAATGACATATTTTTTAGTTCTCTTGGCGGACTGTGGTACCATACTGGTGGAGCTGTTGGCGCGTCATCAGTACTACTTATTCGTCCTACCTCGAAACCATCTGATCAAGAAATTCCAGCTGGAGTATGCGTAGTAATGCTTTGCAACCTTCAGGACACTTCACTGCTCAATTTAGCTAAGGAAATAGAGGAGATTTTCAGAGATTAGGTGACGTACTCGCGGAGTTTCTAATTTACGTGGTAAGAGCCCTGTGATGTTGATACGCTGATATTTTCATATTTCATTCATATATGCTAGATACACAAGTAGACCTATAAATTTTATATGCACACGTGTTCATAAGTGAGATCATCGCTAGTAAAACCTTGACACAGTATAATGATTATAAATTACAATAGCTAAAAGACATATGAAAGGTGAGCATGCATGGATCAGTTAGTGATCTCCCTATGGAAGTAAAAGGCAATGACCTACAAATATAATTCAACAGAAAATTGTTGCACTAAATCAGTAAAGAGTCTGGCCCATATCACTTTGGTGGGGCTACTGTTGGACCAATGCCAAGAGTCGGAGGTGGTATGCTGAAAAAAATGTATTAAGATGTCACACATTTAAGCATAACACTTGATAAGATTTCTCCTACTTTTCCCTGCCATCAGAATTCGTAAATTTTCCCTGCAGCGCTGGAGGAGTGGACCGTATCGATGGTGTTAGCAGAGCTGTATTTGATTGCTGAAATGCTGCATTTCTGTCTTTAGAGACTCATAATAAAAAAGGGGCTGTGAATTTGACACCGCTAAATTGAACATCCTCAGATATGAAGGAGCTGTTGTTGCACAACACCGGCAACAATGAAAAGAAATAATGGTCGATCTACACAGCGGCAGCAACTAAATCTTAATAGTCTGAATCAGACAGTAGGATTTGCAAGTTGAAATTTCGTCTTCAGATTTCACCTTCGACCACGCTTTTGACCGATGTTGTTTTGTGAGGCATTTTTAGAAAAAAAAACATGCTTTTCAATTGGGAACTAAATTATATAAACAAATTATGTTGTGTTGAACAACGTAGCTGTAAAATAAGGCATGCATTCAACTTCCATCCAGAGTTAATAAAAGCTGAATGTCTATCCAGCCTGTACTAACGTATGAACCCTAGGCAACCAGTAGGCAGATGGGCATCTTCTGGAAATTTCAAGAAGTGCCTACCAGGGTCCGTCCCAATACGTTCCGGAAGTTGCTCGGTGTCGTAGGCACACATCCAAGTAACGGGCTAGTTCGGCCACCAATCGTACCCAGAACAGGAAGCAGTGGTGGTGATACGCCCGGCGACAGCGTGGATCCAACACGATGTTGATTACGGTACATTTCAATAACTGGAAACAAATTCTGGACATGAAAATAAGTGATTGACTAATAACACTACCTCGAGCATTTCTCGCTCGTTCAGCTTCCATAACTTGTAAGGTCTCTTGAAGTTCCTTATTCTCCCTACTCAAATCATCTATTGTTTTCTTATAGTCTGCTATTGAAGCTGCAAAAAATCATTAAATGTAATGTGAAAGGAAATGCAGGAGCACACTGACCCGTCATTTCGTCAATGAGTGACTCCTTCATTTTCAGGTCAGCCGCCATCTCGTCTTTCCTTTCATCCAAGCTCCTTTCCGATGGGCTCCGAATGTCCCCCTGAAAAAGCCAATTTGTAAATTTACTGAAATGCCGAAATTTACTGAGGAAAGGTTGAAACTGAGGATTAGCTCACAAACCTTCAAATATTTGGATATGACGTGATTCGCCTTACTCAGATCCTTTTTCGTTTTATCCAATGCCATCGCCAGTTTTTCTTTATCTCCACGTAGACGACAGCACTGTACTTCTGAGTCCCGCAACTAAAAACTATTTTAAAAAAATCATAAAAATAAGAGTAATAAACATTNTCCAAGCAGAAAGGTTTTGTTCACTCTGTTGTAAAACATTATGTTGCCTTGCAGACATTTCCATATCCTTCCTTTGAAAACTGAACTTCATGGCTGACAACAGCATGAGCCCATTTGGTTACAACGACAAAAAAGCCCTGCATTCAATCATAATTCCAAGCCCAACGTTGCGGTTATTCTGCAGTTTCTCGAGTTGGCCTCTAAATCGCATACGAGAACATTCGATTGGTAGCACCAACTTTGACTTCCTTTGGAAAGTGATCATTGAAAGCTAGAAATCTCACCACTAAAGATCGATCTTCGAAGACTGTAGGGGTCACCCCTATCAATTAGCTGTGCTAATAAGGTGATTGTTATACAGAATAGAAGGGAAAATATAAACAACTAGGTACTTTTCACACGAACTACAGATTAACATGGAAAATCTATAGAATCCTGAACTTTTCCTGATTAAAAGACCGAACACACCTTTCCTTCGAGCTCTTCACACTCTTCTTCACATTGATCGAGATCTTCTTCGAGTTCTCGTACTTTCTTCTCTGCATCAGCCAATTCGTCTTTCAAATGCTCAATTGTACTCAGAGCGGAATCACGTTCATCCCGTTCCAACTGAAAATACCAAACTACCGTAAGTAGAGGTCGCTTTGAACACTGGCTCTGAACTACCGCCAGCTTAGGGCTGCTACAGAAACGAAAATTCAGTATGGTACTCGGCTGCTACAGTAATCTGGCACAGCTAACCCGCAAATTTTCACCCGCCACGTATATGACGTAATGAGAAAAGGGGCTTTGGGCTAGGACCCGGGGCTGGGTGACAGACAAGCTAGGGGGTTACTGTAAGAGCCGCCTGCCCGTACCGAATTTTCGTTTCTGTTTGGGCTACTCAAAAATTTAAGTAGTACCTGGAGGTCTTGTTCAAATTCTTCTCTGCGCAGTGTTTCATCTGCTGCCCTTTTTTCAGCATCCTTTACTCTCTGCTCCAGCTCTGCTATTCTTTGATCAGCTTTTAAACGGAATTCCTTCAAATCGTCTACCATACACTTCAACTCATCCCTTTCCATTTCAACGTCTTTCCTTTCCTTGTTCAGCTTACACATCTGCTTCTTAACAAGACGCTACTTGAATGCAGCATATGGAATTTCTGCAACTAGTTCAAACCCATTTGCGAAATTACCTGCAGAGAACGCATGTTGTTGATAATATGACACAATAGGTCCTTGTCACGGACTGCTCTTAACTCTATTGGCATTCGCACAGTATACATATCAATAATGTGGATCATTTCGAACCTAAACAAAGTTGGTATACTCTGAAACTTCTTCTTTTCTCAATACGCACTGCTTCTATGTATTTGGAGTACAGGGAATACGCAGTAAATGCTTTTGGGGATCCTGAATTGGTATCCTTCACGCCAGTAAATTCATAATCACAGGTTGGAAACAGGAAAAATGATAAAGCGCTCACGTGCAAATGGATAGATCTTGGCTCAAAGTGCATGTGAGTTGAACAGGTGAAGTAGCTCCAACACGTTCTCGAAGTAAGCGAACTATTCGAGCAGGAAAGTCGTCGAAATCAACGTTAAGATTCCATGTTTTTGCTAACGTCTGTATATGGAGGGATCTAACTACCTTCCTCACCGAAATCACTTCGAAACAAACCTGATATTTCGTCCGAGTAATGCCTTCCGCGTACAAAAATTCAAAGTCATCTGGTCGGCTGATTTCAATGCGGTACTCCTGAGAAAACAGCGAGCTAAGACGGTATTCCATCAACAGTTATCTTCTTCTCTTATCTTTTGAAACATGCAATCAGAAAACCCACCTTCTCGCCGCTGTCCAGCCTCCGTTCTACGATTTTCAGAGACACATCTGCCACAGTAGACCTGTAAGAACCTAGTACAATCATATGAACATGTAACGTTTTCCACTATCTTTCACAATTTTAAATTGAAAGCGCGAAATATGATGAAGCTTACATATACTCAGGTCCATTTTTGTTCGGCTGCAATAATGTAACAGGTAACGAGCCAACAAAAAGTTGACTTGGACCCTCCGAAGTCGCTGCCATGAGACTCTTCAAAACAGCTATTACTTTGAAGTGTAAATGAATACTGCAAGTAAGTGAACAACCACATCAAAGATAACACTTGTTGAGAACGACACTGCTTTAAAAAATCCGAACTCTTTGAGATATTAGTTTATCTGTAATGAGCTACACAGCTTATATAGGAACTAGAATCTAATTTAAAACCATCGTAGGTCACAACTACATTTGCCTTTTCATAACATGCAAAAATGAAGTAGCGAGAGTTTAGAAAAGGACACAAACCAGCAATGGTGAAACAAGTGAAGAAACAGTGAAAAGGTGCCGAGGAGTGTTGCTGAAGTGTGCAGAATACTTACAACGGCTAAAGTATGCAGGTAAGTAAAGGCATTGAAACAACAAAGTATTGCAAACAACTAACAACAGTAACCGATAGCAAATAATAATTGGTATACTTGGCCAGGTCTAAAGCTCTAAATCTGACGCACTGACTGACACCAAAATCACGGTAGGCACCAAATACATATTACTGTTGGCTATTGGCCTTCAATTCGGTCACCTGCAAATAAATTTCGTTTGTTCGCAACTTTTCTTCTTCTACAGTGTTGGAAGTTTCAATACTTAATTTTTCTGAGCTGCTCTCAATAACTTGATATGTAAAAAGGAACTGCTCAAAAGAAGTCGTGAACTCGTCTATTAGCCCGACAGCTGAAATAAATCGACAGACAAAGCCTACACAGCAGTTAGATGGTGCATGCGGAATAGATACAGTCAACGTGAAGAATTGTATCCTTCCGTGACCGTGAACACCAAAAGCGAGAAAAAAAA